ATTGATGTTGACAATATACTTGTGGCCTTCGTGCTACTGGAGTTGGCCCTTTTTGACCTGTTCATTAATCGTGCTTCGAGAAGAAGAAGAAGACTCCGAGATAATGCACTCTCCAGCAAGAATTATGTGCTTGAGTTGATAAATGATCATAGAGACAGAATTATCAAGAACATGCGCATAGATGTTCCCTTGTTCCTACACTTGTGTGAGCTATTGGTTGAGCATGGTTATTAGCAGGCATATCCATCTCAAAGAGTGGGGGTTCATAAGTCTATTACTCTTACACTAATGTGTTTGAGTCATGATGAGTGGCGGTAGTCATTCTATTCAGTGGTTGGTTTTTTGCATAATCGAAGTGGTCTCGTACGATCTCATGCTCGGCTATTATTAAGTCGGTTGGGCTGCCTGCGGTTACGGAATCGCCCGCAGAAGCCCCCTTGACTCTCTCTCTATAAAAACCCCTGCTGCTTGCTCTTCTTAGGCATTTTTTCTTAGTTTTTCAACTTCACTTCTTTACTAATTTCTTTTCTCTTCTTTCTTATTCTCAAATTATATTGAATGAGGCCTTTCTCGTTTGAGCTCATGAACGGTCACTGGCATCGGGCTTTAACTGAGCACTTCCAGTATTCAATGGAGATAGTTGACTAGTATGTATGTCATGTTCTACAATCATTGGTGTGACTTGGTTGAGATCTTGTTAGGCCAACAAATTTCAATGACATGTATTGAAGAATTCTTAACAATGGACTGTTTTGGACGTGGTTCAATGTAAATAATTACGAATTTGTATACGTACAAAGGTTTGTAAAAATTGCCACAAATATAACGATCTTCTTTTGTGTAGGATTACGTTGGCACCTTAGATGGCACCCATGTCTCTGCTTTGTGTAGAGCGGAGATAAGGGGGCAGTACAAAAATAGATATGGTGAGTTATTTCAAAATATACTTACAGCCTGCGATCATGATATGTGGTTTATCTATGTTCGAGTGGGTTGGAAGGGCAGTGCCCACTACTGTAAAATTCTCCAAAATACCTTGTTTGATCCAAATTCGAGGTTTTCAATGCCACCTCTCGGTATATTACTCATCTGTCTTCCAAAATTGTTAAATTTGGACAACTGATCAAGTGCAACTGGCAAATAGTTCACGAATATTCTCAGCTTCATTTGTGTAAATTTGAGAAATAGATGGACTAACACTACGATTCATTGGTCGGCAGGTAAATATTATGTGGTTGATGCTACTTACACTAACATGCCAATGTTTGTGGCACCGTTTAAGGGTGCTTAGGAAACACAACATGAGCGAGTAGCTAAAATTTAGTTCAACTGGCGCTATGCCTCCCTTAGAAATATTATAGAACGAACATTTGGGATTCTTAAAAAGCATTTTTTCATACTCAAAGATCCAATGCAGAACTACCTCATAGCAGGTCAAAACAACATTGTACTTGCATGTTGTATCCTGCACAACTTCATGAGGAATTATGTGTCCAATGATGAATATTTCAACGAAGAAGTTGCCGTTGAAACCTTTGCTGATGCACAGGAAGGAGGGAACCAAGTCCCGGAGGCTCGACCCATCGATATGTCACAACAGGGCATATATATCTGAAATGAAGATTGACGGGTAATTCAGTTCATATGTATCTCAATGACCACAACTAGCATTTGTTCCCTGTCTTGGGTCCAGTGCGTCAGCTAGCAGTACAATAATGGGGCATTGAATCTTCGTTCGACTGGCCCTTATCAATTTGAATTATGACGATTTAGTACTTATGGTAACAATTACTCGAACTTGTACTAGATTAGAAACTTTTCATGACTTCAATAATCTTGGTAATATATCCTCTATTTAAAATTTACTGTATGACTACGTGATTTGTGGTTCTGTGGGACAAATGAGTGGTATCGACATATCCTAAATTTATGTTGTTTCAGTTAATAGACTAATATGATTGGTCTTTAAATAAAAATTCACTATACTACATTTTCATTAAGGACGACATGATCATTTCGAAAAAAAAAATTATAGGTCTTCCAAGACAAAATTGTAATTGTCTGCAAGTTTAAACTCTAAAATGGTGCATTTTCATAAATGAGGGAAGGTAGTAGCTTGTTAATGAGTTAAAAGAATTTTAAAAATATAGTTATTTTTCAAATATAGGTCAATCCAAACGGAGAAATTTTTCAAAATTAATGAGTCTTTCATTCACAGCAATCCAAACGACATCAACAGTATTTCAAAAACTGCTATAGTAAAATATTTGAAAAACACTCTAAAAAGTAGTTGATCAAAATGGAGCCTATATTTTTCAAATTCTTTTAACTCATTACCAAGTTCTTGTTTCCCCTCATTCATGGAAGTGTGTCATTTTAGAACTTAAACTTGCAGATAATTACAATCTTGTCTTGGAAGAACTATGAATCTTTTTTCGAAATGATCATGTTGTCCTTAACAAAAATGCAATATGGTGACTTTTTGTTTGAAAACCAATCATAGTAGTCTATTAATTGAAGTAGAATAAATTTAGGACATGTTGATACTACTCATTCGTCCCACAGAGTCATCGATCACGTAGTGATACAGCAAACTTTAAATAGAGGATCTGTTACCAAGATTGTTAAAATCATGAAAAGTTTCTAATCTAGTACAAGTCTGAGTAATTGTTATTATAAGTACTATATCGACATAATTCAAATTGATAAGGGCCAATCGAATGAAGATCCAAGACCTTGTTATTGTACTGTTGGCTGAAACACTGGATCCAAGACAGGAAAGAAATGTTAGTTGTGGTCATTGAGATACATGTGAGCCACAATTGCCTGTCGATCTTCATTCTAGTTATCTATGCCCTATTGTGACATATTGATGGGTTGAGCCCCCAAGACTTGGTTCCCTCCTTCTTGTGCATCAGCAAAGATTTTGACGACAGTTGTTTCATTGAAGTAGTCAGCGTTGAGCACATAATTCCTCATGAAGTTGTGCAGGATACAACATGCAAGTATAATGTTATTTTAAGTTGCTATGAAGTAGTTCTGCATTGGGCCTTTGAGTATGGAGAAATGTTTCTTAAGAACCCCGAACATTCATTTTATAATATTTCTAAGGGAGACATGTCACCGGTTGAACAAACCTTTAACTGCATGTTCATGCTGTGTCTGTCAAACACCCCTAAATAGTGCCATAAACTCTGACATGTTAGTGTAACTAGCATCAACCACATAATATTTACATGCCAGCCAATGAATCTCAATGTTAATTAGTCTATTTCTCAAATTTACACAAACGAAACTGGGAAAATTCATGAATTATTTGTCAGTTGCACTTGATCAGTTATCCAAATTTAGCAGTTTCGAAAGATAGATGAGTAACATACTGAGAGGTGGCATTGAAAATCCTGAATTTGGATCAAGTAAGGTGTTTTGAAGAATTCTACAGTCGTGGGCATTGCCTTTCCAATCCACTCAAATATAGACAAATTGCATATCATGATCGCAGGCTGCAAACACATTTGAGATAACTCACCATGCCTATTTCTGGACCACTCTCTTATCTCTGCTCTGCATCAAGTAGAGGCATGGGTGCCATCTAAGATTTTAATACAATCCTACGTAAGAAGAGATCGTTATGTTTATGGCAATTTTTACAAACCTTCGTATGTATACAAATTCGTAATTATTTACCTTGAATCACGGCTAAAACAGTCCATTGTTAAGAATTCTTGGGTGCGTGTTATTGAAGTTTGTTGGCCTAATGAGATCCTGACCAAGTCGCATCAATGATCGTAGAATACAACATACACGCCAATCAACTATCTCCGTTGAATTTTGAAAGCACTTGGCTAGAACCCGATGTCGCTCATCATGACTCAAGCACACTAGTGTAAGAACAACAGATTCATGAACCACAACCCTCTGAGATGGATATGCCTGCCAGTAACTACGCTCAATCAATAACTTGCACAAGTATAGGAACAAGGGAACATCCATATACATGTTCTCGATAATTCAGTCTCGATAGTCGTTTATCAACTCAAGCACATATCCTTGCCGAAGAGTGCACTATCTTGGACTCTTCTTCTTCTCGGAATGCGATTAATGAACGAGTCAAAAAGCACCAACCCTAGTAGCATGAAGGCCACAAGTATGTTGTCGAGATCAATATTATCCCTCTCGTCATCCAAGTGTCCACGTTGGATGTGCATGTGATTATCCATGAAGCACCAACTACCTTACTCTATAATCCCTAAGTGATACCCTGCACATTCATGAACACTTCTTCAAGCATATGGAAAATGAGGCATGATCTATCATAAAATCTTACTTGTTCACCTATAAAAATTGCACCAAAATCAACATTAACGAAGCACAAAATAATGAATCTAGCCAGTGGAAAAAAGAAATGCTAAGGGTCTAAGCTAGTTAATTGTAGGAAAAGGACAGATGTACATGAGTAAATCTAGAGGGGAATAAATGAACTGATTTTTAATAGAAAAAACTTGGAGAAGGTATTTGACCTAAAGTAGATCCCTCCAGTGGGCATCGTCCATCAGAAAGGCGTAGTTGGTAGCATCCCAACCTATAGTAGTGCCTCTTCTCTTAAATGAAATGTACAGCTAGTCAGGCTTTGCAGGGCATGGTATTTCGACCTAATAGTGTTGCTTGGAAATGAAGTACTGTACAAGTCATTAAGTAACCCAACAATCTCGAGGACGACATGACTCCCGATGTTATGAGGGGTTATTCCTCCCTTTCCATGCATATTGATAACATGTTAGGCAAATGCAATTTCATATTCCTTAGTGAAAGTGTTATGTTCCAAATACTTTGCTCGCGATCGACTCATATTTTTTTCCTTTGGGGTGGCAAAACCATAAAAATAATAAACTTAGGGTAAAGTTACATTGCTATATAACAAAAGAATGTCATACCAAACACTGAGTAAGTATAGCATCTTCATAATAACATACCTTGAAGTAGTAAGTGATGCAAAGCTGCAAATCGTTTTCTTCCCAAACCGACTTCAAAAAACAAGTGCTGAGTCCCCTACTTATTTGCAAAGCTATCAAAAAAAGCAAAAAACTATTACCAAAACATTATCCATATATAGCAAAAATTTAGACAAGATGCAATAAGACCCACCCTTCGAAGCATGCCAAGTAACAGAGGGCGAATTCAAAGTCAAGTCGGGTAACTAATTTAGCAGACCTAATCCTCCAACACAAAAAATAGATGTCAGGCATATAATAAATAGTTTGGGTAACAAGTGCTTATGTTCGGATTGTCAAACATTTTTAAAAAACTCAGACAAAGCCGTCCTCTGGCAATTACGATAATAATTAAATCAAGCAAATCTATATAAAAATTAGGTAAGGGGATTTATTGTATACTTACATAAACTTAAAAACCACAAGCGCTGATATAAGCACAATGGTGTTTTCATCATTTATGGAAGGAAGTAATTAATAGTTCAACAGGTTAATATCTATTTCTAAGCACAACAGATTCTTATACCCAAGATGTTTCTATCTCTTTTCTTTTGCAATTAGAGCCACATTAATAATTTTTTCCGAATGAAAATCACAACCTAAGACAACACTTTGCCCTGCGATTCTAAGGATTAACTCATGCAATGGACCAATTATTAAACCACATGAGCCATTATCCAAATTTGAGGGCAAAAAATTAAACAGAAGCATAAGCAAGAACAGGACCATAGCTGACAGAGGAGCAATTATCGTTTGTATAAAAGCAACGATGAATCGCAGAATTGAGATAAGATGAAATGTGTATAAAGAACAACGATTAAGATGCGTTGATGTCGTGGTCAGATCTAATTCACAAATAAAGATTAAAAATAACAAAATAACATACGGACCAGGCAGGAAGGTATTGGTTTGTGAAGGTTGAAGTCGAATAAATGCAGCCAGTGAAGTTCTTTCGATCAGTACTAGCTTCGTAATTGCAACCTGTTTGAAATTCCTAGCAGATGGTTTCAAGTGGGCTACAGTTCGGCTGATGACAAAAAAAGGGAAAAAATAGTCAACTTAATCACGAATTTGGCCCTAATTTGTACCCTTACACTCGGCAATGAATTAGCATCACAATATTGAAAGGGGGAATGCAACTATACCTGGACTCAAGAAGCTACTGGAAAACGTGACAGCATAAGGGAATAAGCTCGCATGTGTCAGCCAAATGAAGGAACACTCAGCAAAGTGTTTTTCCAAATAGTTGGCTTTATTGAGTTGCGTGGGATAAAGCTACTGCAAGATCTGCTTTTTGGGGGAAGTCAATATTGCGAGGAAATGATACCATGGGAGAAGTGGTCAAAAGAACTCGCTGGATGGAGCTCTTTGACGGCAAGGAATCGAAGAGGGGAATTGCTTAGGCTAGAACAGCAAATGGAGAAGGAAAAGTCAAGTGGAGTTCTGCCGAAGAGAATTGGGCGTGAAATACCCGTTGTTTTACATTTTGGGCTTAAACGATGTCGTTTGTATACAGTGATCACTGTATACAAATGAAATACAATGTTGACTTGGGGGTTGTTTTTTGACTACAAAAACAATAATTCAAAAATTTTGGGGATCCAAACGGAACAAAAATTTTTTTCTAAAAATGTGAGGGATCAATTAAGCAATTTTCCCTAAAAATTAATACGTTAGGCCTCTTGAAGAATATTTTTTAGACCTTCTATAATTACAAATCCTTACACTTGAGGTGAAACTCCAACAAATTATAGCTCCAAGTCCAAGGAGATTGAATGGATATTAGAGAACAAGGGACATGGTGTGTGTTGGTGGAGTTGTACATGAGAAGAAAAATACCTTACCATGTGAACTCTTTTGAAATTTATTTACTAGGTGATTACAACTTTGTTCTGAGATTAAATGACCATGATAATTTCTTTTGTCCACACAGGAGCATATTGTATGTGATGATTTCATTTATTGGCTCTGGTCACAATTTTGTTTAAATTTTTCGTATTCTAGTATTGTGTTACAAATTGTTGTGTGAGTTGTCCTATAAAAAGTTAAATAAAAAGTTCTCACCCCTAACTAAACAATGGGAAGAACTCTGAAAGCCCTTCTCTGTCCAATTCAAGATCAATATACACAAAAACTTGGGAAAGTTTCTTGTATGAACTTGTCTACGGTTAATCTTTGGATGGTTATTTGTAATGGGCCCAATATTTTAAAAAGAAAGTTTAAACAATCAAAATTGGATTTGAACAAAAAATATAGAAAGGTTTCAATCCACCCCTAACTAGCAGACTCAAAATTCGAGTCCTGAGTTTGCCAATGGGAAGAACTCTAAAAGCCCTTCCCTCTTCAATTCAAGATCAATATATACAAAAACTTGGGAAAGTTTCTTGTATGAACTTGTCTAAGGTTAATTTTGGGTAGTTATTTGTAATGAGCCAATATTTTAAAAAGAAAGTTTAAACAATCAAAATTGGACTTGAACAAAAATAATAGAAAGGGTTCAATCCACGTGGACCAGATGATTGCATGGTATATCTATACATCTATACAACATACAATATATGAAGGGAAGCAGTTGGAGTGGGTGTAACATTTTTTATACCATCATTTAAATTTTCAATTTTATCATTAGAAAAATTAATTCTTACTTTAATCTCCTAATGACATTTGCCAAGATAACCACTTATAACTACCAAAATATCTATTATTTTATTGGCAAAATATATATGATTAATGAAAAATTTATATAAATTTTTTTTGTGTAAAAACAAAATTTATATATTCATGAAAAGTAATAATTATTTCTGAATTGCTCAGACATTGAATGTGTCCTTAACACGCATATACGTGTCAACCGCAATGGACTTACATTTGTTATGTAAAGTAGAAGAGGAAGAAGAGTTCTTTAATAATTGATAATTATCTTTTTTATCGTTCTGATGCTTTATGCTTTATTCATATGATGAACTGAACAAACAACCACGATCCACAGCAAGAAGAATTCATCAGCTAATGGCAAATAAGATGAACTGAACTCATCAGCTGATCCAACATAAACATATCCAATACTTTGTAAACAAAAAGCAGGAAAAAAAAAAGCTATTTGGGATAAATTCATCTAAATGTCCAATCGTTGCCTATTCTAAAGTGAGCCTAAGCAAGAATTAGTGTTAATGTGGGGTTCAGAACAAACTACAAGCCATTGAGCTGAAATTTCATGGATAAATTAACAAGTATACCTGTATAACTACAAAAAATATGGACATGAAACAGGTTTAGTTGTTTCAATCAGCAAACCCAAAACAGAACAAAAACTAATCTGATCTTCATACTTCAGTTAAACATGATCTCATTCACAGCGTTGCTAGCTGACAAAATTGCTGAGGTACTAAATCCACCTCTTTTTATCTACTATGGATTTGCTTGAAGAGTTAAGATGTCTCAAAACAGAATGGTCAGCACCGCTTCTGAAAAAATGCAGCAAATCCTCATTGCATTGGGTGAGTTGAATGGGGAAGGATGGAATTGGCTAGCTGTTCATTCACCTTTACTGGAAGTGCTGGCATTTGCTTCATCATGTAGGGTGGCTCATTGATCCTGCAAATGAGTAAATTAATAGATAGTTTCTCTTTCGTAGCAAGAAGGTATTGCATTGTCAAGATATGCCACATGGAGATGTTATTGCGAATCACATCCTACCGAGTAAGTCAAGTCCTCCCTTGTCTTCTGAGTACTAGATAGGATTGGTGGTGGTGCACCGCGTATGCAACACTAGGCATATCTTGACTATCTATAGGATAATTATCATGGAGAATCGAACTTATGTGATACTTAAAAGGAGGCAAAAAATGCAATCTGATTGTTCTTTTTACAATGGTCGTATGTCACAAAACTGGAAAGCAGTGTTAATTTAAGCTCCTCAAATTTGATATAACGTTAGATAGCAACCAATGTATCCCTAATAGAAAGATGTAAGCTAATTTAAGCTAACTCTCTATGATGACTGAAAATCCAAGCCAACATAATTGATTGTATGACCCTATGGAAGTTATGATTTGTATCTTGCACACTACCAAGTAACCTATGAATACAGCAGGCTGTCGCCAAAAGGGTAGCCTATGTACCAATTAAGAGAGTAAGGACATTTGTGCTGATGGTAATACCTTGAAACCTCTGGATATTACCCCTCAAGGTGGAGGGAGTTTACCACAAGCTCTAATCAAGAATATATCTTGCTTTATAGCCCTCAGAAGCTTTACTAAATGACTTAATAACTCTCTTGAGGTTCTTCTTCAGACTACTGTTCATAGACAAAATTTACAAGCAAATTGTATTCAAACCAATATGACACCAGATAATTTACAATTAGAAACTAATCATGCTTAGTACGAGTTATATCAGAACATTCATATACTGCATGTATCAAGAACAATGTTTATCCTAGTCTTCCGGGATAAGCTGACACCAACATGATAAGATACCATCCATACATCTTTGATTTATAATGCCCAATTAAACCCTTGAGCTTTCAGTGTGTGTCATTTAGTAACTGGTGGATTACCAAAATCCGAGCATTTATCCAAAGAAATTGGTAATTAAGCTGAATATTACATCCAACAATTACATGAATGAGGACTATCCATCAATCACCTTCCCCACAATTATATACAATGTGACAGCTCTATAAATACACTAAGCCACAAGGAAGAATGGGTAAACAGATAATGGCATATGTAAAATGCAAAATAATGAACATTTATGACGGTACATTGTCGTGACCTATATGGACATCTGTTTTGTCCTAATATGGCGTCAGTTTCAAAAACATTCACTTGGCAATCTTCTATCTTATGACCCTTACAAGGGAAAGATAAATATCAGGCGCAAGAACAGTGAAAACATTACAAAGGGAAGAATATTTCCAAAACCACACAATAGAGATTCATTCGGAAAATTGTAAATGAAAATACACATTGAGATGCACTTGTAAAGACAGAGGGCTTTCTGGAAAACTGAAAAATGGAAAGCAGCATGTAAAGATTGTTTTTCGTACCTCTTCAAGATCTGGGAGATGTTATCGCGGGCTTGACAGAAAATACCAATGTTGTTGTGCATCTGAAAATGGGGAGAGAGAGAGAGAGAGAGAGAGAGAGATATGTCATATAACGCGATCTGGAATAGGCAAGTAGAAAGCAACAGTGACTCAATGTTACACAATTTTCCTCCCTCTCTCAGCATATTACTGTAACATTTGTATAAAGTTCATTTGACACCCAAAATGTCAATAAACAAGTTATAACTGCATAAGTTCCAGAAGATATGAATGAGTAGGACAGTATGTATACATGTGAAATCATAAACGGTGAAAGCTTTTTGTTACCATATGTATATTACATAGATATATGACTATACCGTTAAGAATGTTTTTTAAAAAGGTTAAAACTGCATTACTTGCCAAGTTGATAAACTTTATTACTTACAATTCCTATAAGCCAGAACAATTTCATAAGAACTTGGGTTTCTGCTAACCAAGCAACTTAATGGAGCTTAACCATAGATATAAAGATTTGGCCAAGTTATTAGTAGTCCAGAATCTGAAAGCTTGTACCTAACTACCTGTTGGAGCCTAAACCAATTAAGCCAAATTCTTGTGGTACACAACCCAAAGCCTTGGAAACAATGTATGTTTTCCACATTTCTCTGCATGAGCTATATCTCTAGGGTATTACAATCAGCCACAACCATCAAACAAAAATTCTCATTGCTGCAGCCAATGAAAAGCCATTCTTTCTGTGTTCCAAGATCAAACTAGGCTACTCTATTACCAGCTTTGGCAACTAAACTGTTCGAGCCTAAGCCATTTTTCCAAAGTGCCCAAGTCCAAAATTTGCTGGTAGAACAAAACTCAAGGTCTTAAATACCAATAAAAAAAATCCTCGGATGCAATGTAGGGAAAAGTGCACGTTGTACTTTTATTAACATCAATAAGAAATTTACATCATAATCAAAATCCTTTTTAGTACA